TCACGTCGCCTCGGTGACGTCGCCGAAAAAGGCGACGTCGCATTGCCTCGGTGACATCGCCGAAAAAGGCGACGTTGCGTTGCCTCGGTGACATCGTCGAGCCTTTTTCTAAAAAAATAAATATATAAACAAAATAAATAAATAAATATTATTTTATTATTATTATTCGTTCAGCCCGGTAACGAACGGTCCGCGTATCGATATACCGTCGGACCGATACGTATCGCCCGTACCGGGCAGTATTATTCGGTATTACTTACCTTGATACTAGTAACAATAATTTTTTATTTATTAGATTAATAATATATTATTTTGATTTTAATGCTGCTAATTTTTATTTATTTAAAATTATTGTTATTGTTTTGAATTTTGAGATTTTTTGTTAATGTGATATTGTGATTTTGTAAGATTTTTTAATTTAATATCATATTTTTATTTAAATAATTATATTTATTAATTATATTATATATTTTTATATTTTAGCGTCTCGTTTTACTCGGGCAAGTGCCAAACACCTCGGGCGTTTTTTTACCTTGACAACTTTTGACGCCTAGCGCTTTTTAAATCACTGCCATAATCACAAGTATTTATCTCTAACTCCAACAAAAACACAAGTAACTAGACACAGATCCTCCTAAACCTGGTACTTATTTATGGTTCTAACATCAATAGTAACGACAACAACAAGAAGACATGATATCCTAACTATTAAAAGCAAGCTGTATGGATTTTATGAATTTTTTCTCACCACTGAGCTATATTAAGGGCAAAACTATTGATCAATTCAAGCCCGTTCATTGTTTTGTAGTTAAGTTTTCTTCACCTCATATAACCATAACATTTATAGTTCTCTAAATATGTTTATAACTTCTTAATATATTTTATCCTTTATCAAAAATACTTTAATTATTTAAGAATGGAATAATTTTATTATATCATTTCCAGATACACTGTAAATCCACCTCATCATTCCCATCTCAACTACACTAATGTTTTGTATATATTTTTTAACTATTGAGCACTCTGATCCTCAATACATGGATGGACATTACACA